CCTTGTGTGCCATGGTTGGGAAAGACCAACAGAAGATGGGAATAATATAGAGGGACCAAGACATTGGGTGAAGAGTTGCAGTGTAATGGAACCAATTAATATCTTGATTTGACAGGTAATGAAACCCTTAGGTCATGGCACTTCTAAAGTGGTGGTGGTGAAGAGCCTTGTTTTGGCTGCAGTAGCAAACTGTTACGTCCATCTAGTTAATACCTCAGGAGAAAAAGCAATGGAGAGCAGCCCTGGTTTGGCCTCTCCTGAGGACATGAAGAACCCTGAAAGAGGCAACAACCTTGGACATGGTCCTGGGCAGCTGGCTCTAGGTGCTCGCATCCAGAGCAGTGGGGCTGGACAAGATCATGGAACCACAGAGAGGTTTGGGTTGGAAGGGACCTTAAAGCTCCTCCAGATCCAGCCTGGCCTTGAACACAGCCAGGGATGGGGCAGCCACAGCTTCTCCGAGTACCCTCACAGCTTCTCTGCGCAGATGCCTTTGAGAAGTCCCTGCCAGCCTCAGGGAGCCTGTGGTTCTGTGAAAGCAGCAGAGTCGCTACCAGAGCTGAGACAAGCACCTGTGCATGGGCACTTTGCACCTTGGGCAGAGTAAAAAGGATTTCTGGGCTCACATATTAGGGAACCGATACAAGGCAGCACCTTGTAGTCCTTGTAGTGCTCCTCTACAATACCGTTAAAATCTGTGTCTCCTCAGGTGTGTTATGCTCATGTAGTGGCCTAGTGGGGACTTGGGTGAATGCCCCAAAACTGCCAGGCTGGTAGTGGCTGTTTCTGAACAGACACATGAAGGTTTTCAGATGGAGCCATGGAAGAATCTTCGCATGAGAATTTATTGTGGTCTAAAACTTCCTGGAGCTTTTAAGGTTTTTCTCCCATAGGTGGATAAAATAGGAAGAGGATATCAGGGGGATCCATCCTCAGCTCTTCTAGAGCTCTTGGACCCAGAACAGAACTCGAACTTCCTGGATCATTATCTTGATGTTCCTGTGGATCTATCAAAGGTATTTCTCTCTTGTGCAAAGGCCATGGAGCTGGAACGTATGAATGTGAATCACTGCAGAGATCTCCTGTCCATGAAAAGATGCTGATGTTTAGTTAGACGGGATTGAGAACGAGTGCTCCCGCCTTTCAGACAGAAAAACACACATCTGAAGGACTGTTGCTTTGAGTAAAGCAGCAGGTTAATGAAAATCCTTAATAGGATCTTGTAATGCTTCCAGGTTCTTTTCATTTGTACTGCCAATGTAACAGAAACCATTCCAGAACCGCTGCGGGATAGAATGGAAGTGATCAACGTATCAGGATACGTAGCAGAAGAGAAACTTGCAATTGCAGAGGTAAGAGAAGCCACTGATGCACTGTTTAATCACATCTGATAATTCACATTCAGGCTTAAATAGTTACATGCAGCTGTGTCCAGAAAAACCCAGACATGTGGCATTTTGGACAGAGTTCCTCTGATTTGAACACCCAGTTAAAGGAACTCCAGTGTTCCATGGGCTGTGGATTCCAGCAAATGGCATTGGGCATAATGAAGTGGTGAATTGGAACCATCAGGCTTTTGTCAGACAACTAAGGGAAGGATGCGGGGCATTGTTTCTTTCAGAGGTACTTGGTCCCTCAAGCACGAGTTCTGTGTGGCTTGGATGAAAACAAAGCCAAAATCACATCCGATGTCCTGACTCTGCTCATCAAGCAGTACTGCAGAGAGAGCGGGGTGAGGAATCTGCAGAAACAAGTGGAAAAGGTGAGGGGAAAGTTGTGTGTCACCGTGACCATTGTGCTTCAGCCTCAGCTCCTCCTACAGAAAGAAATCACTGTCTCACCCAGGTATTGAGGAAATCCGCCTATAAGATTGTGAGTGGAGAAGCAGAGACGGTGCAAGTGACACCTGAGAACCTGCAGGACTTTGTAGGAAAGCCCATCTTCACTGTGGATCGCATGTATGAAACCACTCCTCCAGGAGTGGTGATGGGTCTGGCCTGGACAGCGATGGGTGAGACAGAATGACTTGGGTTAATGCCTACATTTATGATCTTCCAGATGGAATATGATAGTCAAACTGAAGCCAGTGAACTTCTACCAGCACCATTAACTCATGTGGCCTTTTTAGATCCTGACTCCTTCTTCCCTGAACAAGAGGCCCTTTCTTATTCCCTTTCCCCAGGTTCATTTTAGCCTCAGGCCAGCACATTTTCACTTTATGCTCCATATCCCATATGAAGCATATACATTGGGAACAGCAGTGACTAAAGGCATAAGCCTGTTCAGAGAGGACAAGACCTTGTCTACTCCCTTAAAAGCAGGAGGTGCCATTCTGACTTAAGGCAGGGCTGAGGCTTCCCTGCATTACTTCCCTAGGAACTTGGGGAAATACAGCAGAGGATATGACTCCTGCGTCCTCTAATTGACACTGGGTGGAATTGAAGAGGGAAATGATGTCTCAGCAGAGAGCCCCAGTTCCAAACTCCTGCCATTGCTTCTGCATCACTAAAACCTTCTCATTTTTCCTTTCAACTTTTTCTCAGGGTGTTGGCTTTGTCTTTTCTTTCTTTAGGAGGTTCCACTCTGTTTGTTGAAACATCCCTGAGGCGACCCAAAGACAAGGAAAACAAGGATGGGTCCCTTGAAGTAACGGGGCAACTGGGAGACGTAATGAAAGAGAGTGCCAAGATAGCTTACACATTTGCAAGAGCCTTTCTGATGCAGAAGGACCCCAACAATGACTTCCTCATGTCTTCCCATATCCACTTGCATGTGCCAGAGGTAAACTGATGCAGAGCACAAAGAGCATGCATAGCAGCCAGGCAGCTTGCTCCCCTAGACATGAAGCTGGGAAGCACTTCATTTGTGTGCAGGGTACCCTTTTAGCGGTAAAACCGGGGAGGGGGATAAAGGCATCTTCTTCTGGATCCCATGAAAGCATTCCTGTCAGCCTGAGTTTGATCTCAGATAAATCCAGTCTGGCACTAGTTCAGGCCTAGATTTTATTGGGCTTTCTAAAGTGAATGTTCTCTTCTGCCTTGAGTGATTTTCAGGTTTGTCCTTCACTGGTTTGCATCTCTTGATGCTCTCTCCCTTTTGTGCTGCTCACCTCTGGTACTTTGTTTTCATGGTTGGCTTAGGCCTACAAAAAGCCTCAAAGGATTCATGCTCTGGTTTTTGCTGGTGTTGCTAAACACAAATGAGCTAAAGGTAGGAGGTTGTGATGATTTGCTCTCTTTTACCCAGGGAGCAACACCAAAGGATGGACCAAGTGCAGGGTGTACCATAGTAACAGCTTTGCTATCACTGGCCATGAATTGTCCAGTGAGGCAGAATGTGGCCATGACTGGAGAGGTGTCATTAACTGGAAAAATTCTTCCCGTTGGTGGAATCAAGGAGAAAACAATTGCGGTGAGAGCTCTCCTCTTGTCTCTGTGCCCTGGGCTCTGCAGTGACTGTCACAACCACAGTGGTCACTGCTGTACTGGGAGAAACCTGCTGGGGGGACGTGGGGATCTTGGGGGTGTCTCTGGCTGTGAGGAAGGAGACAGGACCCCAGCCTTGCAAGAGCATCTGTGGTGATCCAGTTACTGGACTGGTGGAACTAAGGGAGATGTAGAACATCATCCATCCTTAGTGCCATCTGTAAGGAATCGCCTTGCAGAATAAGGGCGGATCATGCTCCTGAACAACTCTTTGTGTTCTTGCTGCCTAAAATGGGTATTTCTAGGAGGTGGATGGATTCCTAGGACTCAACAGCCTCCATCCCGTTGTTCTCCCGCAGGCAAAGAGGGCAGGCGTCACCTGCATCATTCTGCCATCAGAGAATAAGAAGGATTATTACGACCTTGCTGGATTCATTACAGAAGGACTGGAAGTGCATTTTGTTGAGCACTACAACGAGGTATTTGATATAGCATTTTCTAAGCTGGATTCTGGTGGAGGATGATGTTCAAGAATCCCATGGCTGGAAGGTGGTTTGTCCTCAAATGCTCAGCCCCCAGAGAGAACTGGGGTGACCTGAAGTGGGACATGGAGCTATTGCTGCTGAGCAGCTGCTGAAATGAATTATGGCTTTACTAGAGTAAAATATTTCTCACTCTTCACTATGGAATGATGATCCAGTTACGTGTTTCCAATAAACTGTGACATTTTACGTAAAGAATGTCCATGTTTTCAGCCACCAGCCCTGGAGCCTTTTTCCCACCACTGCTCTGGTCTCTTTTTAATTACAGATTTTTCAGTCATTGCTCTGCTGATGGGGAAAAAACATTTAACTGCAAGCAGAGCTTGGGGGTGTGATTCAGAGAGATCACATTCCTGAAGTGCTGGTAGTGGAAGTGCCTTGCAGAAACCTCTCCCTGTGTTGACTTATAAGGGGAAACTGAAATTCAAGAGCCAGTTCAGCAGAGCTCATACATTCAGTGTGCTCAGGCAGCCAAGAAGTCACCAGCATCCTGGCCTGTATGAGCACCAGTGTGGCAGCAGGGCCAGGGCAGTAACTGTGCCCCTGCACTGGGCACTGGTGAGGCTGTACCTCAAATCCTGTGTTCAGTTCTGGGCCCCTCACTACAAGGGAGACATTGAGGTGCTGGAGTTGGGCCAGGGAAGGGCAGCGGAGCTAGTGCAGGGCCTGGAGCACAGGGGTAATGGGGAATGGCTGAGGGACCTGGGGGGTTCAGTCTGGAGAAGAGAAGGCTCAGGGGGGACCTTACTGCTCCCTACAACTGCCTGACCAAGGCAGTGCTGCAGTCACTATCCCTGCAAGTGTTCACACCCCATGTAGACGAGGCCCTCGGTGCCATGGGGTAGTGGTGGCCTTGGCAGTGCTGGGAGACAGCTGGGCTTGATCTCATTTCCAGCCTAGCCGAGTCTGTGACTGAGCTGCTGAGGGACACGTTTCTCCCCACTATATCATGTGTCAGTACCACCAGAAACAACTCCAGGCTTAAAGCCTGGGCAGGCTGAAGCAGAGGCACCACTGTCAGTCACTGCACTCATCTGGTAAGAAAGGACTTTATTGAATTAGAGATTGTGGAACTCAGTCCTTCTTTGCAGCAGCTTTCCTCATGGCTGCCAGGACATTGCTGAGCTCTTCCCTCTTCCGCTTAGCCCGGATGTGAGTGCCGACCTGAGGGCAGAGCAGAGCAGTCAGCATCATTCCAGCAGGAAACAAACACAGCTTCTTGGCTACCCAGGACAGCCACTGGGGATGAATGCCCTTCATTCCTTCACTCCAAATGGTAAAGTCCTGGTAAGCTCAGGGCCCATTTGCCCTGGCTAGCCAGTCAGGAACTTCTCACCACTGCATCTCATTGTACTCAACTATTTGAGACAAGGTAAAAGCTGCCCTCAGTGAACCCCCAACCTGGTGAATGGTTCCCAGCCTCTATCCCAGGATTTTTCCTCCTCTTCCCAACACCAGATTTACAAATGATGCAGAAAGACCAAAGGCAAAGTGAGGGCTCCTGGGCCTTGGGGCCCTTGTGTCTGTCTCCCACCCAACCCAAGGAGCATTCCCACCACTCTTCTCAGCCCAGAGAAGCTGTGGCTGCCCCATTCCTGGCAGTGCTCAAGGCCAGGTTGGACACAGGGGCTTGGAGCAAGCTGCTCCAGTGGAAGGGGTCCCTGCTCGTGGCAGGGGTTGGAACTGGAGAAGCCTTAAGATCCCTTCCAACCCAACCAGGCTGGGATCGATGATGGCAGCTGGACCTACCCGTTTCTTGATGAACTTCAGAGCACGTTTATCCTTGGAAACCTTCAGCAATTCCATGGCACGTCTCTCATAGGGCGCAAAGCCGCAGACTTCCCTGATCATGTCTCGCACAAACTTGGTGTGTTTGGTCAGACGCTGCAGGAGAAATCCATGAATCCAAGAACATCAGCAGTGACTGACTCACACTGGAGAGCCAAGCATCCCGTGAACACTGGGCTGAGGCCCCAGTGTGCTCAAGGCCAGGTTGGACACAGGGGCTTGGAACAAGCTGCTCCAGTGGAAGGGGTCCCTGCAGGGGTTGGGGCTGGAGGAGCTTTAAGGTCCTTTCCACCCCAAACCAGGCTGGGATTGTGTGAGTCAAACACCACATCGAAACAGTTTCATCAAAGCAGGTAAAAGCTGCCAGGTGCCGTTTCCTCTTTGTGAGCATTCCCTGAACCTGGATAACCGATACTGGTCATTACCGCGCTGGTCTGGGGGCGCCTGCTCTTACTGACAGGAACAGCTTGTGTGCTGACTGCACTCCGACTGCTTCCCATGCATCTGCCTTCCTCCTCCGCCGGTACCGGTAACGGCTGCTTCGCACCCACCCTCACGGGTTTAACGCCTCCTGCGACTTAACCCGTGTTTAACGCTCCCCCACCCCACTCCTGCGGCTGCCGCTGCCCCGGTCCCGGCAGCTCGGGGGCTCCACACCCGGCCCCCCGGAGCCACCTCGCGTTCTGCAGCCGCACCTCGCTCGTTCGGGGCCGCGCGGTCCCGGGTCAGCAGCCCGCGAGCGCCTCCCCCTTCCCGGCAGCCTCGCTCCGGTACCACGGGTGTCCGGTACCGCGCACCTGGGCTCGGCCCTCCCGCCAGCCCCGGGGCACGGGGGCAGCCCAGGCCCGGGCCCGGCTCATACTCACCCCGCGGCGGCGGCACTGCCGGGGCTTGGACACGTTCTTGGTCACCTTGTAGCCCTTGTTGAGGCCCACGGCCATGGGGTACCGGATCGCCATGGCTGCGGGACGGAGCGCTCAGCGCAGCCAACGATGGACGCGGATCCGACCCCGGCCCCGGCGCTCCCCGCCCGCTCCGCAGATGGCGCCGCACCGGAAGGACGGAGCGCGCGGGGAACGCTGGGACAGCCCCTCCGGAGGAGGGACGCTCCATGTCCATAGAGGCGCGAAGGGAGGGCGACCCCTGGCGGCCGGTGGTTCTGCCCCCCCGCAGCCCTGACCCAGCTCCGGGCAGCGGCCCCGGGGGACGTGGAGCTGCGGGAGCGGGGCCAAGGGAGGCCACGGAGCTGCTGCGAGGCCTGGAGCAGCTCTGCTCTGGAGCCAGGCTGAGAGAGCTGGGCTGGGTCAGCCTGGAGAAGAGAAGGCTCCTGGAGGGGAGACCTGAGAGCAGCTCCAGTGCCTGAAGGGGCTGCAGGAAACCTGGAGAGGGGCTTTGGGATATAAGGGATATGGGGACAGGCCAAGGGGAATGGCTTTAACCTGCCCCAGGGGAGACTGAGCTGAGCTCTGGGGCAGAAGGGGCTGAACCCCAGAGGAACGGGGGCAGCCCCGGCGGAACCTCCGAGAGGGCCGCGGCGCCGCGGCGGACTCCGCTGTGTGCGGCACCACGCCAGGCCTCGGCGCCGGCCAATAACAGACGAGGATTAGCGACCCCGCGGCTCTCCGCACCAATGAGAGGCGGAGGGGGGCGGAGTTTCTCCGCGGAAGCGGCGATCGCGGCGGGTGGCAGCGGCGGTAGCGGCGGCAGCACCGGGACCCGCAGCCATGTCCGAGCGGAAGGTGTTGAACGTGAGTTGGGGGGGGTGCCCCGGCCGGGGGGCGCTGTGGGGCCGGGGGGTGTCTGTGGGTGAGGCTGGCGCTCAGAGCAGGGGTGCCCGGCGGCCCCGGTTGGGTTGGGGGGGCCCTGAGGCCGGGAGGGGGTGTTTGGGGTGAGGGCCCCTCCGCTGGGGCAAGAGGGTCGGGTCCTAGAATCATGGACGGGTCGGGGGGCGGAGGACGTGCACCCAGCGCCCAGCACCCCGCACCCCGCACAGCGCTGGCTCCTCCGGGTGCATTCAGCAACCGGGAGCGCGGCCGCTGCAGCTCCCGCTCCTCCGGGTGGCTGCGCCCCGCACGCACACGTCTCTGCTCTGCCTCTCTAGAAATACTACCCCCCGGACTTCGATCCTGCCAAGATCCCGAAGCTCCGACTCCCGAAGGACCGGCAGTATGTGGTGCGGCTCATGGCCCCCTTCAACATGCGGTACGAGCGGCTGCACCAGGCAGCAGGAAGCGGCTGTGGGAGAGAAGCTGGCTTAGGGATGGGTTCCCCTTCGTACAGTGCAGAGGAGCTGCAGGGGTGACAGAGCAGGGAAAAGGGGATGGAAGAGAGGGAGGAGGTGCTGGGGGATGGGGGGGTTGTTTGGAGTGTGCTCCATTCCCAAAGGATGAAAGCCCCGAAATAAATTGGAATTCTCTTGGTCTGTTCCCCGTTCTGTTGTGTGTTATGAACCTTTCTTTTCCCTTCCCCAGCTGCAAGACCTGTGGGGAATACATCTATAAGGGGAAAAAGTTTAATGCCCGTAAGGAGACCGTTCAGAATGAGGCGTACCTGGGGCTGCCCATCTTCCGCTTCTACATCAAGTGCACGCGGTGCCTGGCAGAGATCACTTTCAAGGTGAGATATGCCCTGGGTTTTCTGTGCTCTCCCTCCCTGGGGAGGTTGTGCAGGCTGTGGCCACTGATGGGTGCTGTCCCTGTGGGGAAGGGGTGCTTGCTGGGGTTTACCTGCAATAGGGGTGTGCTGTCAGGGCTAGACTAAAGGCAAAGCACAGCGCTGCACTGCTGGCAAGGAAATTAACCCTGTTCCAGCAAAGACTGGGTCCGAGCATGTGCTCTTTAGTTTATCTCCCCTTATCGTGGCTGTTTGTGGCTCTGAAGTGTCTCTCCCATCGGAGGCTGGGCTGCAGCAGCGCCAGTTGGAGAAACAGGAGGGCTGTGGGGGATTGTCCGCCCCTGTGCTGAGGCTGGCACTGGGAGCTGTGTGCGTGTGGCTCCGCAAGTGGCCACAGGATGGCCCCAGTGATTTTCCCGGCTTGTGCCTTAGACAGATCCCGAGAACACGGACTACACCATGGAGCATGGGGCCACGCGCAACTTCCAAGCTGAGAAGCTCTTGGAGGAAGAGGAGAAAAGAATGCAGAAGGAGAGGGAAGAGGAAGAGCTCAACAATCCCATGAAGGTAGGAGACAAACCTCTGCCCCGGCTGAGGGCACCTGAGCAAAGCAGGTGGCTTTGTAGCCATTGCCTTCGTTCTTCAGGCTCCCGAGGTATTGGTGTGCTCTGGGCAGGCAGGACACAACTCTGCTCTCAGGAGGTTTCCTCCTGTGCTAGCACTTTTAACAGGCTGCATCTTGCCCCAGTTTTCCCTGTCCTGTTAAGACCCCAAAATGAGGATGAGGACGATGGTGATGATGCCCTTAGGGCTTCCTGCCCTGTACTGGGTGGGGAGGTGGTGCTGGCAGGTTCTTCTAGCTCAGATAATCCCATTTATCTCTGGTCATCCAGGTCCTGGAGAACCGAACCAAGGACTCGAAGCTGGAGATGGAGGTTTTGGAGAACCTGCAGGAGCTGAAGGAGCTCAACCAGCGCCAGGCAAACGTGGACTTCGAGGCCATGCTGAAGCAGTACAAGGAGCTCGAGGCGGAACAGAAGCGCAGGGAGCAAGAGGAGGATGAGCAAGAGATCAGGTGAGTGGGCTGGGAGTGCACCCCGAGAGCAGCTCAGAGAGGGCCCTGCCTGAGGGGCTGGAGGTCACAGGAGCTGCCTGTGACCCTGAGCGGGCTGGGAGGAGAATGGGGGCACTTTGTCAGGGCAGTGTTATGGGGGGCTGACTCTCCCTGAGAAGTGTCCTCACATGGAGAGTGAGTTCCTGCTCCGGCTGAGGCTGCACATCTCGGTGCTCCCACCTCAGGCACTGCTCGAGGGTGACTTCTTAGGTGGATCCCGTTGCAGCACTGCGGGCTGCCAGCTGCCCTCACCACAGGGAGCAGGGAGCTCAGGCCCAGCTCTCAGGCCTGGCTGGCTCTGTCCCTGCAGAGAGATGCTGGAGCAGGCACAGAACCGCCGGCTCCTGGTGGACTCTGACTCTGACGAGGAGCCTGTGAAGCCCCACGTGAAGCCTGAGGCCAGAATGAACCCCACGGACATCCTGCAGGAGGTGAGTGGGGGCAGAGGCTCTTCCCCCCAGTCCAAGCCCGCTGTCCCAGGCTCTGTGTTGCCTGTTTTGTCCCTGCTCTGTGCAGTGCTGGAGCTTGGTGTCACGCTTGAGCAGCTCCAAAAGGCTGTGTCCCCGTGCACTGGGCTGGAAGGGAACAGGGATCAGTTGGTGATTTTAGACCACGTCTGCTGACAAAGGCTGGGATGGAGCTGCCCCCACCTCGCTCAGGACGTGGCTCCCTTTCAGCTCCAGCAATTTATAACATTCCCCACAGGGAATTCAATCAGCAGCAAAGTTTTCGTTAGCTTAATTGGTGAAAATACTGAAGCCCATTCATTTCTTGAGGGGAAAATACACAGGAATCATAGAACCGGGGAATCAGCTAGGTGGGAAAGACCTTTCAGATCAGCACATCCAGGCAGCTTGCAAAGGGCAGGCTCGCCTTTGCCGTGGTCCTACTCGAGGCTCCATTTCAGTGCTCTGAAAAGCACAGCAGTGAAACAGCCCCCCCTCCGTTGGGACAGCCCCTCCTTTGCTTCTGTTTTGTCCACGCTGGTGCCGTGCAGAACAAAAGAGCTTTCAGTGCCTGGCTCGCAGGGGAGGGATTATCCCCGCAGACAGGCCCTGCAGTGCTGCTCTGTGGTGTGGATCCGTGTCTGGGACCTCTCTTGGGTTGGGGGAATCAAAGCTGCTGTGACCCTGAGCTGGGCTGGGTTAATCTGAGCCATGTCCCCTGGCCCAGCACTGATCCTTGGGCAGGGGGGACTTTGATGCAGTGGCAGGACCACCTGCAGGCCCATGGTGCTGCTGCAGGGGGCAGGGGGCAGCCCTGGGGGTTGGATGGGGCTTGGAGCAAGCTGCTCTAGTGGAAGGTGTCCCTGCCCGGGGCAGGGGTTGGAGCTGGAGGAGCTTTAAGGTCCCTCCCAACTCAGCCTGTTCCATGGTTCTATGCTCTGTCTCAGTGTCCCATGGCCACACAAGGCTGGATTCAGCTCTCCCAGGCAGTGGGACCTTTGTCTCCAAGGGCTGTTCTGCAGCCATTTGGATTCATATCCTTGGTGTCTGTAGCTTGTGCCAGTCCCTATGGGGCAGAACACCCAGCCTGGCTGCTCGAGCAGCTGTCCCATGGCTCTTGCTGTTTGTGCTGCTGGTTTTACCGCTCCTTCCCCCCCCCGTTCCACTCTGCAGGACCCCCAGCCCCAGAGTAAGAAGCTGAAGACTGAGAGCTGGGAGCGGAGCGTGGGCAAACTGAACACCAAGTCCCAGCTGGCCGGGCTGGTGACAGTGAGGAAGCAGAAGCCAAGTCCTGCCCTGGCAAATGGCACAGGGAGCCAGGAGACCACAGCCAGCACTGGTAACTGCCCCTGCAGGGTTGGGGTGCCCTGAACTGGGCCATCGGGGAGGGACCTGGCAGCACACACATGGTGTTCAGCTCTGTCTTCAGAGCATCAGTGCTCTCAGGTCAAGCTGGGGACAGATGGGCCCACAATGGTGTGAGAACGGGGGGGTGTCCCTGTCTCCAGATGTCCTGATGGAGGAGAGGCTCCTTCCCGGTCCTTGGCTGTCAGCCAGGGCCTTGGAGACAGAGCCTCAGGGCCAAAAGCTTCAAACAAGCATCCTGGTGTGCCCGTGGGGTGCTGGGCACAGTCACAACAGTGAGATAGGGATGCAAAAGCAAGAAAATGGCTTTGTTTTGGGGCCTGATTATAAAACGTACCAAGTGTTGGAGCGTGGAAGCTTTAAAGAGGCTTTCCAGCACCTCGCCATCATCTGCTTGTCCTGGGAGGGCAGAGGATCCATGGATTTAGGGAAAGAGTCAGCAAATCGATCAGTTCTGGGCTGGTTGGCCCCAAGCCTTGGGCTCGCCAAGTGCCTCTGGGGAGCTCCTAGGCAGGGCAGTGCTTGGAGGTGCCCTCCCTGGGCTTTCCCAGCCTCTGCTCAGGCAGAAGGGGGTTCGGTTAAACCTTGGGGCACCCTTGCTGCTTCCTGCCCTGCAGGAGGCTCCGGCTCAGGGTCCTGGGCTCTCAACCTTGTCCTGGCTGGATCCCAGCCGGGGGGATGAGGCACCGCGGCTCCGGCGCGGGAGGTCTGTGCTGTCTGTGCCGTGGGAGGGCTGCCCCCCATGCTCTCTGCTCTGCTCTGCTCCCAGGCTCGGCTCCCCCCACCGCGTCCTCCCTCAGCTTGCTGGGGATGTACTCGGACAGCGAGGACAGCGCTGGGGACTGATGAGGCACCAGAGCCCCAGGAGGAGCTGGCACCGCAGCGGGGGCCCAGCGGGGCTCCCGGACCATCGGCACCCCCAGCACCTTCCCTGCCCGGCCCAGGGTCTGTGTCCATCCTCCAGCAGGGAGCAGAGCCCGGACGATGGCTTCCTCGCAGGAGGACCTTGCTGCTGTGCCCCAGCCTGGTTGTGCCCAGGTGCAGCCTCCAGCCGGCCCTGGCAGCACCGTGATGCCCAGCCCTGCACCACGACGGGCGGGGAAGCGCCAGGGCCAGCCCAGGACTTTGTCCCTTCTGGTGGCACCCACTGCCCAGTCTGTGATGCACCAACCTGCCCACAGCAGTAAAGGGACCTCAGGGCCTTTCTTCCCTCCTCACCTGCATCCCTATGGGGAGCAGGGGAAGGTGGGTGCTCAGCACCCCTCTTTTGCTGCAGGAGGATGCCCTTCACCCTGCCTCAGGGTGGCTCCTGCCCCCCCCCCCCCCCCCCGTGGGGCTCAGGACCTGCTCTTGCAGAGTGAGCCTGCATCCCTCGTTGTGCTGTTGGGGGGGCACCTTGTGTGGGGTCAGGGCTGTCCCCCCCCTTCCCTGAGCCCTCCAGCTCCGTGCTGGACCTTCCCCGAGGCTGAGGGGTTTCCTCTGCTCAGCAGCAGCCTGGTAATAAATTGGATCCATCTGAGCCAGCTCCTTCTTCATCTTCACCCTGGTGCTTCCTGGGGGGGCTCCTGCCTGCGGGGCCCCCCACTGCAGTGGGAGCAGCTCCTCCACCCGTCCGAAGGGCTGGAGCACCCCGGGTGCCCCCGTGGAGCCAGTGCCAGGCCAGGATCCTGGAGAGGACCTTTGTTCTGGGGAGACAATGGGGGGGAGCCCTTCTGCCCCCCCAGTGCGGCCCATGGGGCTCCCCAAAGGGCAGGGGGGGGTCAGGGCCCCCATATGAGTCCCTGGGGGGGCTGGGTTCCCCGGGGGGGGGGTGTCCGTGTTCCCCCTTTTCCCTGTGCCCTGACCCCCAGGAGCAGCCGGGGGGGGGGGGGCCCGCTCCTGTCGGGGGGGTGGCGGGGGAGACCCCCGCTCCCCTGTGGGGGTCCCGATGACCTCTTCCCCCCTCCCCGTCTCTCCCCCCAATCCCCCCCGTGGGTTCCCCCCCCCCCCAGCGAGGCGGGGTTGGGGGCTGGGGGGGGGGGGGCCGGGGGGCTCCGGTCCGCGCGGCGCACGGCGGCGACACAAAGCGGCTCCGGGCGGCGGCGGCGGCGGGGGGGGGTCCCGCCATGGCCAAGTGGCTGCGGGAGTACCTGGGGCGGGGGGCGCGGCGCTCCCCCCCGCGCCCGCCTCACCCCGACTACAGCGGCCCCGGCCCCGCGCCCCCCGGCGCTGCCCTCCGCGGCCCCGCGGCCTCCCCTCGGCACCGGCTCGTGCGGGTGGCGGGAGCGGGGCCCCCCCGGCGCACGGAGCAGGTAGGAGCGGGGGGGGGGAGCGGGGGTGCAGGGGGGGAGCTGGGGAGAGGAACCGGGAGCACCGCGGGGTGCGAATGAGCCCGGGGGGGGGGGGGGCACGGACCGGGGGCAGAGAGGGATGGGGGTGGGGGAGAGGGAGAGGGAGACCCCCCAGGGGGGTCGGGGGGGACCCGGGGAGAGGGAACCGGGGATGGCGGCGGGGGGGGGGGGGGGGGGAGCGGGAGAGGGGCCGGGGGACAAAGGGAGCGGGAGGGAGGCAGCGGGGAAGGGGCCGGGAACAGCGGGATCGGGGCTGGGGGAGCCCGCAGGGCCCCGAGGCGGGGCCGGGATGGGGGAGGGGGTCGTGGGTCCCGTCCCACCGCGGGCACCGCGCAGGGCCCCGGCGAGAGCGAGTACTCGGAGCCGTGCGAGGGGGAGCAGGAGCCGGCGCCCGAGGGCGGCTGCGAGGAGCCCGCGGAGGCCGCAGGTGGGTGCCCCCCCCCCCCCGACCCTCCCCAGGACCCCCCCCCCGTGTCCCTTCCCCCATGTCCCAGCGCCTCCTGTCCCCAGGGGGCCGGCGGGGGCGGCCGCGGCGGGGCCCGCAGCTCTACGACACCCCCAGTGAGGAGTGGGAGGCGGCCGGGGACGGCCCCGGCGCGGGCGGCAGCCGCGAGAGCCGCGAGAGCCGCGAGAGCCGCCTGCCCCGGGACGACGAGCGCCCGGCGGATGAGTACGACCAGCCCTGGGAGTGGAAGCAGGATCACATCTCCCGGGCGTTCGCAGGTGACGGCACCGCGGCACCCACGGGTACCACCGCTGGGGCATCCCTGCACCCACGGGTACCACCACTGGGGGATGCTTGCACCCACGGGTACCACCACTGGGGGATGCTTGCACCCACGGGTACCACCGCTGGGGCATCCCTGCACCCACGGGTACCACCACTGGGGGACCCCTGCACCCACGGGTACCACCACTGGGGGATGCTTGCACCCACGGGTACCACCACTGGGGGATGCTTGCACCCACGGGTACCACCGCTGGGGCATCCCTGCACCCACGGGTACCACCGCTGGGGCATCCCTGCACCCACGGGTACCACCGCTGGGGGACCCCTGCACCCACGGGTACCACCGCTGGGGGACCCCTGCACCCATGGGTACCACTCTGGCATCTCCCAGCACCAACGGATACCACCCTGGCATCCCCAGAACCCATGGGTACCACCCCTTGGGTCCTCCAGCACCTACGGGTACCATATTGGCATCTCCCAGCACCCAGGTGTACCACCACTGGTGGCCCCCTGCACCCATGGGTACCATCCAGGGGTGCCCCAGCATCCATGGGTACCAGTCTGGTATCCCCCAGCACCCATGGGTCCCACCCCTTGGGGACAACAGGAGGCCATGGCAAGGCAAAGCCTTAGTGGGGCCATCGGGAACATTCCTTTGTGGTCTGACAGCGAGCAGTGCCCCACAACAGCAGCACCCATAGGTGCTGACACCCTCCTTGTCCCCCCAGTGCAGTTTGAGAGCCCCGAGCGCTCCCCCAGCCTGTCCCGGCAGCTGCAGCGGCCCCCCCGGCCCCCCCCGGACACCGGCTGCCCCCCCAGCCCCCGGCATGTGGACGCCTCACTCCCGCTGGAGAAGCAAGTGTGAGTCTGGGTCCCTCCTCCATGGGGCACCATGGCGTGCCCGCAGCCCCCTGGGGTGCAGGGACCCCATGGATGGGTCCCCAAGATGCTGGGTGCCCCATGGGATGGAGGGGTGCCCATGGGATGGATGGGTGCCCCATGGGATGGATGGGTGCCCATGGGATGGATGGGTGCCCCATGGGATGAATGGGGGCCCAAGGTGTGAAGGGTGCCCCATGGGATGGATGGGTGCCCATGGGATGGATGGGTGCCCCATGGGATGAATGGGGGCCCAAGGTGTGAAGGGTGCCCCATGGGATGGATGGGTGCCCCATGGGATGAATGGGTGCCCAAGGTGTGAAGGGTGCCCCATGGGATAGATGGGTGCCCCATGGGATGGATGGGTGCCCATGGGATGGATGGGTGCCCCATGGAATGGATGGGCGCCCAAGGTGTGAAGGGTGCCCCATGGCGTGCTTGCTCCCTTTGGCACGGTTGGCTGTGCTGCGCCATAGCCAGTCTCCACAGTGCAGAAGGTGCTCCTGTGGGGCAGTGGATGCTGATGGCTCCATGCGGTGGGGCTGGTTCCCCACGGCACGGAGGGTGCCCCATGGCGCAGGGGGGTGATGCCGTGGCCGTGCAGGTGGTACCACGGCCCCATCGGGCGGGCGGGCGCCGAGACGCTGCTGGCGCTGTGCCGGGAGGGCAGCTTCCTGGTGCGGGACTGCGAGACCAGCCCCGAGGACTACTCCCTGTCCCTGAGGTGAGCGCGGGGCCGGGGGGCGCCGGGGATGGCCCCAGAGGGGTTCCCGTGTGGGGGAGCCATGAGCATGGCGCTGCACCCGTGTCGTTGTGTGTCGTCGCATGTCATTGTATGTCGTTGTGTGTTATTGTGTGTCGTGTGTCGTTGTGTGTCGTTGTGTGTCATGTGTCGTGTCATTGTGTGGCGTTGTGTGTTATTGTGTGTCATTGTGTGTCGTTGTGTGTCGTTGTGTGTCATGTGTCGTGTCATTGTATGTCGTTGTGTGTTATTGTGTGTCGTGTGTCGTTGTGTGTCATGTGTCGTGTCATTCTGTGGCGTTGTGTGTCATTGTGTGTCATTGTGTGTCCTTGTGTGTCATGTGTCGTGTCATTGTGTGTCGTCGTGTGTCGTCGTGTGTCGTGTCGTGTCATTGTGTGGCGTTGTGTGTCATTGTGTGTCATTGTGTGTCGTTGTGTGTCATGTGTCGTGTCATTGTGTGTCGTCGTGTGTCGTTGTGTGTCATTGTATGTCGTTGTGTGTCATTGCGTGTCGTTGTGTGTCGTTGTGTGCGTTGTGTGTCGTTGTGTGTCGTTGTGTGTCATTGTATGTCGTTGTGTGTTATTGTGTGTCGTTGTGTGTCCTTGTGTGTCGTGTGTCATTGTATGTTGTTGTGTGTCATTGTGTGTCGTTGTGTGTTATTGCATGTTGTTGTGTGTCCTTGTGTGTCGTGTGTCATTGTATGTTGTTGGGTGTCATTGTGTGTCGTTGTTGTGTGTTGTTGTGTGTCATTGTATGTCGTTGTGTGTTATTGTGTGTCATCGTGTGTTGTTGTGTGTCGTTGTGTGTTATTGTGTGTCATTGTGTGTCATTGTGTGTCATTGTGTGTTATTGTGTGTCATCGTGTGTCGTTGTGTGTCATCGTGTGTCGTTGTGTGTCATTGTGTGTTGTGTGTTATTGTGTGTCGTTGTGTGTCATTGTATGTCGTTGTGTGTTATTGTGTGGCGTTGTGTGTCCTTGTGTGTCGTGTGTCATTGTATGTTGTTGTGTGTCATTGTGTGTCATTGTGTGTCGTGTCTGTCGTGTGTTATTGTGTGTCGTGTGTCATTGTATGTCGTATGTTGTTGTGTGTCATTGTGTGTCGTGTGTTATTGTGTTGTTGCGTGTCATTGTATGTTGTTGTGTGTCATTGTGTGTCATTGCATGTCACTGTGTGTTGTTGCCTGTCGTGTGTCATTGCGTGTCACTGTGTGTCATTGTGTGTCATTGTGTGTTGTTGTGTGTCGTGTGTCATTGTGTGTCATTGCATGTCACCGTGTGTCATTGCGTGTCATTGTGTGTCGTTGCGTGTCATTGTATGTTGTTGTATGTCATTGTGTGTTGTGTGTCATTGCGTGTCACTGTGTTGCATTGCATGTCATTGCGTGTCGTGTGTCGTTGCATGTCGTTGCGTGTTGTTGCGTGTCACTCACTGGGTCCCCATCCCGTCCCGCAGGAGCAGCCACGGCTTCGTGCACGTGAAGCTGACGCGGACACGGGAGCACCACTTCACGCTGGGCCGCGCCGGCGCCGCCTTCCCCTCGGTGCCCGCGGCCGTGCGGCACTACACAGCGCGGGCACTGCCCGTGCGCGGCGCCCGCCACCTCTCCCTGCTCTACCCGGTGGCGGCGCAGCCCCTGTGAGCAGCAGAGACCCCCCATAGGCCCCCCATTAAAACCAGCGCACACCCAGCCCTTGCCCTGTGGTCTGTGGGCACCGCGACGCTCGGGGCCCTCTTGGTGCTCACCTCGATGGTGCCTCGGGACCCCGCAGGCGGTGGCTCCGTCACCGGCTCCCGGACTCCTACCCCTGTGTCCACACGAGCCCCCCCATCACCAGCACAGCCCTTGTGGGGCGCTGCTGGGGACACCCCATCGATGCCAAAGCGTGGGGGTGGCTGCTGGGTCCACGCCGGGGGGAGCGGGTGCTTCCTGCGTGGTCACCATCGCCCCTCAGGCACGAGGGGAGGCCACGGGGCCGCAGAGGGGGTTCCTTGTTAAATGGCCCCCCCGACAGGACCGGTCCGTACGGGGCAGAGCCGGCTGGGTACCGGGGCAGCGGGTGCTGCGGGGTGACCACACACAAGACACAGTGCGGGGCGATGGGTGCTGCAGAGCTCCTGTCTTGGGTGCAGAAAGGCAGGGCTGGGGGGGGCACCCAGCCCATGGGGACACGGAGTCACTCGGGGCCGGGGGGCAGCGGGGGGACCCCATCCCCGGTGCTGCCCTGCCTGGCACCTGCAGTTCTCCTTCTCCTTGGGGGCGGCAGCAGCTTCGTGGGGGCCGGGGCACCGCGTTCACGGCGATCCTTGTGTCGGGGGGAGCGCCGGGCCCCCCACACCGGGGCGCTGCTGGGGGTGCCCCCCCCCCCCCCCCCCCCCCCCCCGGACTACATCTCCCAGCATGCAGCGGGGCGGGCCCCGAGCCAGGACTACATCTCCCGTCGTGCCCCGCGGCCGGGGCAGACCGGGGCGGGGCGGGGCGGGGGGCGCCGCTCCCCCTTTGTTGGTGGCGGCGGGGCCGAGCGGCGGGGACGGCCCGGGATGGGAGAGCAGGTGGGGATGGGAGCGGGGACGGGGATGGGAGCGGGGACGGGAGGGGATGGGGATGGGGATGGGGGTGGGATGGGCATGGGGCATGGGGGGGGGGAGATGGAGGAAGTGGGGAGGGAGGGGGATGGAGAGATGGAGGAAAGAGGGAGGGGGATGGAGGGATGAAGGAAGGGGGGATGGAGGAAGAGGGGATGGAGGAAGAGGGGATGGAGAAAGAAACAGGGGTGGGGAAAGAACCGGGTGGAGAAGGAGGGATGGAGGACGAGGGGATGGAGGAAGGTGGAACAGGGATGGAGAAGGAGGAAGAGGGGACGGAGGGGATGAAGGCCTGGAGGAAGGAGGGGTGGGAGCGCGGAGGGAGGAGGCCGCGGGGTGCAGGCTGGCGATGGAGGCTGGCGGAGGGCGCAGGGCTGCCCCTCGCTCTGCCTCAGCCCCACACTGCCAAGTCATCCCCGTCCCGCCATGTCCGGGGGCCGGGGGGTGAGACCCTGCCCCCTGAGCACGTGTGGCGGGGCCGGGCAGGAGTCCATCCGCAAGATCATCACCACCTTGGCCGTGAAGAATGAGGAGATCCAGAACTTCATCTACTCCCTCAAGCAGATGATGCAGAATGTGCAGGTACCAGAGACCCCCCTGCCCTCCCCATCCCCAGTGCAGGGTGGTACCCGGTGACCCCCCCCACCCCGCTGTGCCCAGGACAACTCGACGCGGGCGCAGGAGGACCTGGACGCGGAGTTCCAGTCGCTGTTTGCGCTGCTGGACGAGCTGAAGGAGGACATGGTGACCAAGATCAAGCAGGAACGCGCGCAGCGCACCTACGAGCTGCAGGTGAGCACCCCCCGCGTGCCCCCACCCCTAACCCTCACCCATCACTTCCCTCTCCCCCCTGTGCCAGGCCCAGCTTGCGGCGTGTACCAAGGCCCTGGAGAGCTCAGAGGAGCTGCTGGAAGCCGCCAACCAGACCCTGGGGATGGCCAATGACCACGAGTTCCACCAGGTACATCCCCACCGGCGCAGGGGGATGTCCCCATCCGGTGGCCTCCACGCTGCGGGGGTCCTGGACCCTCCTTTACCTGCTGGTTGATGCTGCTCTCACCCCGGGCAGGCGCCCTCCTTTTCTTTCTGTGCTGGGCACTGGGTGACACTGGCGTGGCTGTGCCTGCTGTGGGCTGGGGGTGCATGGAGACCCCCCGGGGTGGTCCCAGAGCTGCCTGATGCTCCCTTCCTCCTGATGCAGGGATGCCGTGGGGATGCAGGGATGCTGTGGGGATGCAGGGATGCTGTGGGGATGAAGGGGTGCTGTGGGGATACAGCAATGCTGTGGGGATGCAGGGATGCCGTGGGGATGCAGTGATGCCGTGGGGATGCAGGGGTGCAGTGGGGATGCAGGGGTGCTGTGGGGATGCAGGGGTGCAGTGGGGATGCAGGGGTGCTGTGCTGCTGGGTACCACAGTGGGACCACGGGCACACTCAGCCGCAGGGTCCGTGCCTGCTGCCCTCACTGCCCCTGGCTCTGCTCTCTCATCTGCTTTGTTTCTCCCTCCTCTTTCCCCCTGCGCTCGCCAGGCTGCCAAGCAGATCAAGGATAGGTACGGCCCCCCCGTGCCCCACCAACCGCCCCCCTCCTCCCAGCCAGGACCCGCAGAGGGTGCCCCCACGGGTGCTGGGGGGGGAGCGGTCAGGGCAGGCGGGTGCCCGGCTCCCAGCCCTGCTCACCCTGCTCCCCGTTGTCCCGGTGCAGCGTGACGATGGCGCCCGCCTTCCGCCTCTCGCTCAAGGCCAAGGCCAGCGATAACATGAGCCACTTGATGGTGGATTTCGCCCAGGAGCGCCGCGTCCTCCAGGCCATCGCCTTCCTGCCAGGTACTGCCCGCAGGCAGGGACACGGGGGGCAGCGGGCACCGCGGGGGCAAGGGGACACCTTGGGGCTGTGCCAGCCCGGGTGGGACAGCGCAAGGATGGGGTCCGGGGTTTAGGGGTGGGTGCTGAGGGACGGGGTGAGGAGCTGGAGGGGGCGTAAGGCCTGGGGCAGCCCATGCACACAGGATGGGAGGGATGGGATGCTGTGCCTGGGGGGTGCCCATGTGGGGTCCCCAGGGTGCTGTGCTATGGAGTTACCAAGCCCGTGGGATGCAGGGGGGGCCTAGGGGTGCCCCAGGGGTGCAGGGGGGCCCCACTGGCATGGCTCTTCATGCGGGCAGTGCCCAGCACCCCCGAGATCGACCTGGCCGAGTCTCTGGTGGCCGATAACTGCGTGACGCTGAGCTGGAGGATGCCCGAGGAGGACACCAAGATCGACCACTACGTGCTGGAGTACCGCAGGACCAACTTCGAGGGGCCGCCCCGCGCCAAGGAGGACCAGCCCTGGATGGTGGTCGAGGGCATCAGGAGCACTGAGTACACCCTCCCCAGTGAGGGCACGGGGCAGCGCCCAAAGGGTGCCAGGATGGGAGCGGGCAGGGGGCTGGAGTGCCATGGGGCTGGGGGCAGCGCCAGGGGCCGGGGGGGGCGGTCCCCCGTGCCCCACTGTGCGGCCCTGCTGTCCCCGCAGGGATGAGGTTCGATATGAGGTACATGAACTTCCGCGTGCGGGCGTGCAACAAGGCTGTGGCAGGCGAGTTCTCGGAGCCGGTCACTTTAGAGACAAGAGGTGGGTCCGGGGTGGGGGGGGCACAGGGCGCTGCCCCCCCCGGCTGCCCGGGGCCGGGGCCCCGCGGTGCCGCGCGCTGACGGTGCCGTCGGCAGCGTTCACGTTCCCGGCTGGACGCCAGCACCTGCCACCAGAACCTGCGCGTGGAGGAGCTCAGTGTCGAGTGGGACGCGACGGGCGGGAAGCTGCAGGACGTGAAAGCGCGCGACAAGGACGGCAAAGGCAGAACGGCCTCACCGGCCAACTCCCCCGCCAGGTAACGGCCCCCCGGCCCCGGCATCGCCCCCCGGCCCCAGCTCAGACATCCCAACCCCTGCCAGGGCAGGGACCCCTTCCACTGGAGCAGCTTGCTCCAAGCCCCTGTGTCCAACCTGGCCTTGAGCACTGCCAGGGATGGGGCAGCCACAGCTTCTCTGGGCACCCTGTGCCAGCACCTCAGCACCCTCACAGGGAAGAGCTTCTGCCTTAGGTCTAGCCTAAATCTCCCCTGTTGCAGTCTGAACCCATCACCCCTTGTCCTGTCGCTCCAGTCACTGATGAAGGCCCCTCTCCAGCATCCTTGTAGCCCTCTGGAAGCTGCTCTGAGGTCTCCACGCAGCTTCTTCTCTCCAGGCAGAACAGCCCCAATGTCCTCAGCCTGGCTCCATACAGGAGCTGCTCCAGACCCTGCTCATCCTCTTGGCCTCCTCTGGCCTTGCTCCAGCAGCTCCATGTCCTGATGCTGGGGACACCAGCACTGCACACAGGGCTGCAGGGGGTCCCTCAGAGCCGAGCCAAGGCAGGATCCCACAGGACCCGCTGCTCACAGCCTTGCCTGTCCTAGGGCCGTGCAGTCACCCAAGAGGACGTCCCTGGGACGTGGGGGCCGGGATCGCTTCACCGCCGAGTCCTACACGGTCCTGGGTGAGAGCCGCGGGCACCCACCGGGTGCTGGTGGGGACCCTGAGGGCACAAGGGGGTGCTGGAGGTGGGCAGGGGGCACCCATGGGTACCCTCATGAGCTGTGCCCATAGGGGGACACCCTGATCGACGGTGACGACCACTACTGGGAGGTGCAGTTCGACCGGGACAGCAAAGCCTTCGGGGTGGGGGTCGCCTACCGCAGCCTGGGCAAGTTCGACCAGCTCGGCAAGACCTCGGCCTCCTGGTGCCTCCACCTCAACAACTGGCTCCAGGTCAGCTTCAGCGCCAAGCACGCCAACAAGGCCAAGGTGCTGGACGTGCCCGTGCCCGACTGCATCGGCGTCCACTGCAACTTCCCCGAAGGTGGGTGCGGGACCGGGACGGCGAAGCTGGAGCGGGGCAGGGGCGGGTGCAAGGAGGAAGCTCAGCCCTGTGAGGGTGCTGAGGCGCTGGCACAGGGTGCCCAGAGAAGCTGTGGCTGCCCCATCCCTGGCAGTGTTCAAGGCCGGGTTGGACACAGGGGCTTGGAGCAAGCTGCTCCAGTGGAAGGGGTCCCTGCCCTGGCAGGGGTTGGGGCTGGAGGAGCTTTATGGTGCCTTCAACCCAAAGCATTCCACGGTTCTATGGGACACGGGCACCACCACGGTCACCGTGCGGGGGGGTCTGCGAGCCCCGTGCCCCCCCTGCACCCACGCTCCTGCCTGCAGGGGTCCTGTCCTTCTACAACGCCCGCACCAAGCAGCTGCTCCACACGTTCAGGACCAAGTTCACGCAGCCGGTGCTGCCCGCCTTCACGGTAAGGGGTGGGACGGGCAGCGCCGGCAGGGCTCCGGCGGCGGGGGCAGCCCCCCCAGCCCTGCCCCTCCTGTGCCCACAGGTTTGGTGCGGCAGCTTCCAGGTGAGCTCGGGGCTGCAGGTGCCCAGCGCCGTGCGGTGCCTGCAGAAGCGCAGCAGCACCGCCAGCAGCTCCAACGCCAGCCTGCCCTAGAGCCGTGCCCCCAGGCAAGAGCACTGAATGTACCCCCCCACACACCCCCCATCGCCCCATCGCTGCCCCGTGCCAGCGCCCAGAGCTGGGGTGCACCAGCGCCTATGGCCCCGCCGGCTGAGCCCCCCGCAGCTCTGTGCCCCCCCCCGGCGCTGGGCACGTCCCCCCCCCACCAGTGAGAGCTGCTTCTGGCCTGAAGAATAAAGCAGGATGTTTATGGTGTGACACGGACCTGGGTGCTGGGGGGCTCCGCACAATGAGGGGGAAAGGGAGTTCTTGGGGTGATGTGCAGGGATGGGGCTGCTCAGAGCAGGGGGTAATGCCCCCCAAAACCATGCGTTTGAGGTCCGCCACCCCAGCCCCTTGGCACCCCCCTGGATCCTGGCACAAAGTGGGGGGCAGCCGGGCCCCCCCATGCTGGTGCCCATCAGTCCTCGATGGAGCACGGCAGGTTCCGGGCAGGCCCCTCCACCGTGCCTGCGCCACGGGGGGGTCATGGCCTGGAAGAGGACCCCAGTGTGCCCCCCCCTCCCCACACACCCCCGTGTGCCCTCCCCGCTCTCACCACCCACCTCCACCAACGCCGGAGCGGAACAGGGGGGGCACCATGGACCCTGCGCCTGCCCCTGACCCCCAAACCCGCCCCACAGCCCCCCCGGACCCCTGCAGCGCCCCCTGCACGGCGGGGACCAGCACCGCGATGCCACCGGCCCCTGCTCCGGCTGCCCCCGTCCCTCTCCGGGCTCACGGTGGCGCAGCCCCCCCGCAGCTCCGGATCCGCCGCGGCTGCTGGGACCCTGGGGCCAGCCCTGCCCCGGCCCCCCGGCGGTGCCACCCATGGGCGGGGAGGGGGGAGCCCCCCCCAACGCTCCCGGTGGGAGCTGCGGGGACCCCGTGGTGCTGGGGGGGGCTCACAAGGGGACAACGGCTCAGGGGGTGAGCGGTCACCGGGACCCCTCCGCCGTGGTCAGGATGAGGCCCGACCGCAGCTCCCGCTCCCATCCCGGAGCCCCCCCCGCGCTCCGGGGACCCCCCCGATAGGCGGCGAGCGTGAGCCCGGCCCCCCCGGTAGCACGGAGGCGGTGGCGGGGCCGCTCCGGGGGCGGTGTTACCGGTCGCGCCTGCTCCGCCCGCGGGAGCCGCAGGTGCCGCCGGTCCGGGGGGGGGGGGGGGGGCGAGGCCGCGGTTCCGGGGCTGCGTCCCCGTGTGCGCCCCCCCCATCCCCCCCCCCGGTGCGGGCCCGTCCCTGCCCCGCTCCCCTCCCCCTCCCCCCCCTTCCCGGTGTCCCGGTGCCGGTGCCCCCCCCTCGCGGGGCGGGGCCGCCCAGTCACGTGCCGCCGGCGCCGCGCGCACCGGGAGCGGACCGGAGCATGGCAGGTAGGGGCGCGCGCACCGGGCACGCACCTGCGCGAGAGCGCGCGCGGGAACAAACACCCCCCATCCCCCCCCCCCCCGCGCGCCCGCGCACACCCCGGTGTGGGGGGAGGGGGGGCACGAACACGCACGGGGGCACCGCGGCCGCGTCCCGGTGTCCCCGTGCCCCCCCGTGCGCTCCGGCCCCGGCCCCGTGGGCTCAGCCCCCCCATCCCATCCGCCGTGCCCGTGCCCACCCCTGCCCCGTGTCTTTGTGTCCCCTCTTCCCGCATCCCCGCTGCTCCTCGTCCCCACGGCCCCGAGCGTCCCCGTCCCGAGGCGGACGGAGGGGGGCAGCCGGGGCTGCTCTCGGCAGGGACCCCCAGGCGCTGTTGTCCCGTCCCGCAGCGCTGGCGGCCGCGTCCCCCGGCGGGGATGAGGCTCTGGAGGAGGACGAGGATGAGCTGGAGCCGGGGCTGGACGAGGCGGAGGCCGAAGCGGAGGCCGGGAGCGGGGCGAAGCCGGCGGGGGGGTCCCGGGGGGCCGTGCTCACCCGGCGCGGCATCACCCTGCGCGTCCTGCTCCGTGACGGGCTCCTGGAGCCGGCCCGCGGCGTCCTCTCCATCTACTACCTGGTGACACAGGATGGGAGAGGGGACATGGGATGGGGAGAGGCATAGGGACAGGGATGGACAATGTGAGGTGGGGAGAGGCATAGGGACAGGGATGGGGACAGGGATGGAGGACGTGAGGTGGGGAGAGGCACAGGGACAGGGATGGGGACAGGGATGGAGGACGTGAGGTGGGGAGAGGCACAGGGACAGGGATGGGGACAGGGATGGAGGACATGAGGTGGCGATAGGGATGGGGACAGGGATGAGGGTTAGGGAGGGGGACAGGGATGGAGATAGGAATGAGGGTTAGGAATGGGGACAGGGATGAGGGTTAGGGATGGGAAGAGGGATGGGGACAGGGATGGAGATAGGAATGAGGGTTAGGAATGGGGACAGGGATGAGGGTTAGGGATGGGAAGAGGGATTGGGACAGAGATGGGGATAGGGATGAGGGTTAGGGATGAGGGTTAGGGATGGGAAGAGGGATGGGGACAGGGATGGGGATAGGGATGAGGGTTAGGGATGGGGATAGGGATGAGGGTTAGGGATGGGGACAGGGATGGGGATAGGGATGAGGGTTAGGGATGGGGTCAGGGATGGGGATAGGGATGAGGGTTAGGGATGGGGACAGGGATGAGGATAGGGATGAGGGTTAGGGATGGGAAGAGTGATGGGGACAGGGATGGGGATAGGGATGAGGGTTAGGGATGGGAAGAGGGATGCGGACAGGGATGGAGGACATGGGATGGGGACAGGGCACTGGTTGGTCCCTCCCCATCTCACCCCACACTCCCCAGGGCAAGAAGTTCGTGGGGGACCTGGGTGCCGACGGGACCATCACGTGGCAGGAGACCGGGCAGGTCTTCAACTCGCCCAGCGCCTGGGCCACGCACTGCAAGCGCCTGGTGAACCCTGCCAAGAAGTCCGGCTGCGGCTGGGCCTCCGTGCGCTACAAGGGCCAGAAGCTGGACCAGTACAAAGCCGCGTGGCTGCGGCAGCACCAGCCCAACGCGCCGCCCGCCGACGAGGTGCGTTGGGAGGGAGCCCCTTTGGGTGCCTCCCCGGGGTGCGGGGGTGCAGTGGGGCCAGCCCGGTGCTGCCCGCAGAGCCTGGCCAGCGAGGGCGAGGATGAGGAGGTGCCGGAGGAGGAAGAGGAGGAGGCGGCGCGCGAGGGCCGGGCGCCGGTGCCGGAGCCGGTGGCTGCCAAGAAGCCGGAGGAGAGGAGCAAGAAGCAGCAGAGCAAGAGTGTGGCGGAGCCGGCGGGGACGGGTGAGGTGATGGGGGGTGAAGGGGGCCCCGCGCCGCCGGCAGCGGTGACGGGTGTTGTGCATCGCAGAGCACGGAGCCCCGGCCAAGAGGATGGAGGGCAAAGCCCGTGCGCCCGTGCGGTACTGCAGCCTGGGCACCCGCGACTCCGCCAGGTACGGGGGCACCGGCACCCGCGGGTGTCAGCGCAGGGCCGTGGGGCTGTGCGGGGACAGAGGTGGCCGCGGCTCTTGCAGGAACCCGCAGACCCTGGTGGAGGTGACGTCCTTCGCCGCCATCAACAAGTTCCAACCCTTCAACGTGGCCATTTCCAGCAACGTCCTCCTGCTCCTGGTGCGTCCCTTCCGCGGGGGACACGGGGTGGACACGTCCTCCGCAGGGACTGGGGCGATGGGACAAGGGGCCCCTGCCCGGGGCAGGGTTTGGAACTGGATGAGCTTTAAGGTCCTTTCCAACCCAGCCCATTCCATGGCTCTGACCCCGATGTCCCTGGCGTGTCCCCAGTGTCATTTTGGGTCCAAACTCTTTATTTTAACCTTTTCCCATAGGATTTCCACAGCCACCTGACGCGGAGCGAAGTCGTGGGTTACCTGGGCGGGCGCTGGGACACCAACACTCAATGTAGGTGCATGTGTGAATGGGTGCCCCCACCCCGCCCGCTCCATCACCACCCTCCCCGTGTCCCCCCCCAGTGCTGACGGTGCTGCGAGCCTTCCCCTGCCGGACCCGCCTGGGCGATGCCGAGGCCGCCGGTGCTGTGGAGGAGGAGGTAAAACCACCCCGACCCCATCCACACACCCCAGGGCTGTCAATGGGTCCAGCCCCACATCATTCCCCCCCCAATAGATCTGTCAGAGCCTGTTCCTGCGGGGGCTGTCGCTGGTGGGGTGGTACCACAGCCACCCCTTCGGCCCCGCGCTGCCCTCGCTGCACGACATCGATGCGCAGATGGACTACCAGCTCAAGCTGCAGGGCAGCGGCAACAGCTTCCAGCCCTGCCTGGCCCTCATCTGCGGTGAGACCCGGACCCACGGCCCCGGGGGGCTGCGGCTGCCATCACCCCCCACCAGCCCCATCTCTCCCCCCATAGGACCCTACTACCATGGGAACCCCGGCGTGGAGTCCAAAATCGCACCCTTCTGGGTGATGCCACCCCCCGAGGTAAGGGGTCTCTGGCCCCACGGGGGGAGGTTGGGATGGGGGTGGCCCCAGCGCTGTGGGGTGAACCCCTGCAACTTGCCCCATCCTCCAGCAACGGCCCAATGACTACGGCATCCCCATGGACGTGGAGGTTGCCTATATCCAGGACGGCTTCCTCACCAACGATGTCCTGCAGGAGATGGTGAGGAGCTGACAGCCTCTTCCCCATCCCCACCGTGGTGCTGAGCTCGCTGCGCCTCAGCCCCTTCTCTCCCCACATCCCAGACGCTGCTCGTGGACTTTTACAAGGGAGCCCCCGACCTGGTGAAGTTCCAGGAGCTCTGGAGCCAGGATCAGACCTACCTGGACAAGCTGAAGGTGAGGAGGGGCCCTTAACCAGGGCATCACCTCCAGCCCCCCCCTTTAACTGGGCTGTGTCCCCCACGTCAGGGCTCGCTGGCCTCCCGCACCCCCAAGGACCAGAGCTTCAGCCACGTCCTGGAGCAGATCTTCAGCCTCCTCAAGCTCAGCGGCTGAGGGACCAGGAGCGCCCTCGACTCGGAGCAGGCGCCGGGCGCAGCTCGGCTCAGCAGCCCCCAGCCCGTGGGGCGCATCCAGACCCGGTGCGGGGCAGCGCCCACCCTGGGGGGCTCAGCGGGGGGGGTCCCAGCACCCCGCTCGCTCCTGCGCTGCCCTGGAGGTGCCGTGGTGGTGGTGGGAGCCGTGGCTGTCGTTGTGTGTGGAAGTGGTAGTTGATTAAAGAGCAGTTCCTGAGAGCTGCGTTGGTCGGGGCACACCTCAGCCATGGGGAGGGACCTCACGGGCTGCGGCCACCACCCACGGGGATGCTGAGCCAGGGGGATGCTCACCGGGGGGATGCCTTCATCCTCCATCGCACCGTGGCCCCCGGCTCATGCTCACTCACAGAGGGCGCAGGCAGTAGAAAGAAGAGGACATTTAATACTTCCATTCAGATACAAGTCGAGCTTCGGGGGGGTCTTTTTTTCCCCTGGAAACCAGGAGAAACCATTACAAAAATCCACGAGGAAGTGAAGCAGTTGTCCCAAAACGCAGCTCCATCCACCTGAGCAGGACCCGCAGCGGGGGGGCGGAGGGCAGGACCCCCAGGACACCGGTCCCTGCGCTCCCTGTGCCCCCCGGCCCTGGCATGGGCTCAGTGCTCAGCCCAGCGGGGCGGGAGCACGCGGACACGGACATGCAGGGCTCACACCGGGAACGGGATGGGAGCAGCGGGGACAGGGCCTGGTGCGGAGCTTGGTCCCCAGCCAAGCAGGGACGGGGTCACCCAGGGAGAGGGGCCGGAGCCCGGCCGAGAGGAAGGGGGAACAGAGCACTGGTAGCAGGGGAAAGGAGTCGGGATGGGGGGAGCGCTGCCAGGCCCCATCCTGACCCCCTCAACACGGAACCCGGGGCTATGGGGTGGCAGGAGCAGCACCGGGATGTACTGTCCCTGCTCCCACCGAGCCCAGCGGCCAAGGGGCTCGTTGCCCCCCCCATAAGGAGGGTTTCTGTGGGGTAGAGGATGGGGGCGGCTCAGGAAAGGCACGTGAGGATCAGCTGAGCTCTGGTCCTGCGGCACCCATGGGTGCTGATGGCTCCCGGGGGCAGAAGTGCCTGTAAGGGACAGGAGCCACGACCTGCCCCAGAGCTCCCTCCCCACATCATCCCAGGAGGAAAAGCCCAAGATCCAGAAGCAATTTGGCTTAAAATCCTTAAAACCAAGGGCAGAAGGGAGCAGGCACCCGCTCGGGAGCCAAGGACCGCGGGGAGGGGGCAGAGGGATCCCTGCTGCGTCCCTCTGGGGTGGGCAGGGACGGCACAGAGCCCTGTGGGGCTGGTTTAGTGTTCGATGGGTGTCGTAGTGTTGCTGTGCCCCCAGCATCCCTCCCCTGAGCCCCAGGGAGAGCCGAGGTCCTACGGGGGTGCTGGGCATCCATGGGGAGAGGGGTAGTGTTCAATGGGGAGGGGGGGAAGGTCTTGCCCCCTGCTGGGGGGGGGGTGCTCCGCTCCCCAGCGCTGGGCCACGCACCCCTCGGTGCTGCCGCTCAATGAGATGGACGCGTCCCGGCTCTGGCAGCCGGGACAAGCAGAGGGCAGGGAGCGGCCGGCGCCGGTCCTGCAGGCGGGGGGGGCCGTGAGGAGGCGCAAAGTACCGAGGCTCAAGCACCGGGAGGAGAACAGAACCAAGAGCGAGGAACACCAAATCCGGGGGGGGGCTGACCCTTGTGCCTTGTTCCCTGGGGCCCATCTCCCCCCGCGGTGCCGCCGCAGCCGGGATGGAGGCGGAACGGAGGCTCCGTGGAACGGGACGGGCGCGGCGGCGCCGTTCACTGAGGTAGCGGCACCAGCACCTCCACGTAGTTGAGGGGGAAGAAGCCGGAGTGGCCGCTGAGCATGCCCTCGTACCAGTTCTCGTCGATCTGGTTGGTCAGGGTGATGATGTCTCCCTCCTTGAAGCCCAGCTCGCCGTCGTTCTCGGGCTCGAAGTCGTACAGAGCCTTGCAGCAGGGCTGGTCCAGGGGCGCTGCGGGAGGGATGGGGGCTGCGGTGAGCTGGGAACCCCGCACGGCCCCCGCCGGCCCCGGCAGCACCGGGAGCGGGGCTCCCGCACCTCCGCCCTGCCCCGAGCTGCCCCCGCCATGGCACAGCCCCGTCGGGCCGGGGTTAACTCCTCGCCCTCAGCTCCCCAGCTCCTTCCCGACCTTGCCCCGGCGCAGAGCCCTGCCTCCAGCACCCAAATCCGCCTCCTCACCGGGAACCAGGGGGTCAAACCCCGCGTGACTGCTCCCGGGATGGGAAGATCCCAGCCCGGTTTGGGTTGGAAGGGACCTTAAAGCTCCTCCAGCTCCAACCCCTGCCAGGGCAGGGACCCCTTCCACTGGAGCAGCTTGCTCCAAGCCCCTGTGTCCAACCTGGCCTTGAGCACTGCCAGGGATGGGGCAGCCACAGCTTCTCTGGGCACCCTGTGCCAGCGCCTCAGCACCCTCACAGGGAAGAGCTTCTGCCTAAGAGCTCAGCTCAGTCTCCCCTCTGGCAGGCTCAAGCCCTCTGTGCAGTCCAGCAGTTGAAGATGGGGTTATCAGACATCGGTGCGTGGTGGAGCAGGACCCTGGGGGTCCCTCTGTGACTGCCCCCCCGAGCACAGGGTTTTAGATCCAGCTCAGTGATGAGACCCCAAGGAGTGGGGAGCAAACCCCAGGCTCCTTCCCCATCTCAGCCCCATTTCAGCAACCTGCAAAGGGAAAGCTGCTGCTTGCTCTGCTCTGCCCTGCCCTGCCCTTCTGGGGTGGGCTCTGTGGGTGTTGGAGTCCCACTGAGAAGGGACTGAGCTAACAGAGAGCACCCAGGTCTGCAGGGCCCCCAATCCCCTCCCCATTGCCCTGGGCTCAGTGCACACACCAGGGCGAGGGGCACAGCCCCACGGCAGCCAGCACATCTCTGTGGAACAGCCCCAGCACTGAAGAGAACTCAAAACCCCACAAGCAGCAGCCGAGCAAGTGGCTTTGAGACAACTTTCACAGTACCAGGCTGGTCCCACCACCACAGCGCTTCCCTGCACCAGGCCCCACAAGTCCTCCTGCCCCCGTGCTGCTCCACCCCAAGCTTTCCCCACCACGACGGCTCTGCCCCACAGACCCCACATCACCCCACAACCCCTCCAAGGCTCCTTGCTGGGACCACAGAGCACAGGATGTGCTCAGTGTGCCGAGGCTCTACCTGCTCCCTCCAGCCTTCCGCAGTGGGGTATGGATGGGCAGCATGAGCAGGAATGGGAGAGATCCAGGCTGGGTGCTCGCAACCACAACAGAGCAACCCTCTGACACCTCATGGAAGAGGATCTGCTCCCTGTGGGCTCAGGCAGGACATGCCTGGGGGATGAGAGCTGCTCTAAGTCCTCCAGGTGAGCAGAGCCCCCAGCTTCGGGGTGCTCAATCCCAATGTAACGTGGCTGGTTTCACGTGGGGCTCAGCTTTGCTGTTGTGCTGGCCAGGCTCAGCACGGAGGTAGCAGCAGCTCCAAGCAGCAGCAGCAGCAGCATGGCAGGAGGAGCGAGGAGGGATGGGGAGAGATGGTCACACACATGCAGTGCACAGGGAGGAAACTCACGGATACTCCTGACGGAGGCCCGGGACGGCTTGTCGGATCGGAAAGAGGAGGAAGCTGCTTCCAAACAAAAAGAGACATGCTTAAACCAATGTGAACTGGAGAGAGGGAACGGCAGGGCCCGCAGGGAGGAGCTGTTAGGACAAAGAGCGGCCCACATGCTGTGTTAGGAACCCGCCTGTCGCGCTGGGACCAGGGGGGGATGAATGCAGCGATGGAAGACGGGGAGGGAGCAAGAGATGCTTCAGTTTCCCTGGCTGCCACTTGACCGGGCACCACAGGCGAGGCTGGAGACGCCACTGGGACATCCCCAAAGCCAACCTAACAAAGGCTGCTGGGCCCCAGGAGAAAACAGCCCCAGCCTAGAGGCACTGCTGACAGAGCCTCCAGCCTGCTCAGGTACAGCCAGAAACCTCATTTCCAGGCACAGTGGTTCCCCTCCATCCCCAGGAGGCTGCTCCAGAGGCACTTGGGCGTGCACACTCTTGGGACAACATTACCTGAGACTTTGGGGGTAGGATTGCAAGAGAAGCCCCCGTTAGATTGGTCAGTGTCTGCAAAGTCGTATGTCTCCCTGGGCTTGGGCTTGTATTCCCGCTTGGGACGCGAGGAGGCCTCCCTCATCCTGCAAGAAGAAATGGGGATAACCTGAGATAGGGAACGGTGTGATGAGATCAGCGTGGTTTCTGTTCTCCCTGGGGGCTACCCGGCTTTGTGGACACGAATCCGCACAGCCCTCTTGTGCTCAGGGTGGATCCTGCCCAGGGCTTGGGACCTTGCCCTTAGAGAGAGCCACATGGGGCAGGCTTTGCTCTGGAGCTGCTCAGGCAGTGCAGGCCAGCAGAGGCCACTCGTGCTGCACTTGGGAAGCTCCCACTCGGCAGGATCCTCCCAGCTCCTCGTTCAAACCAGACACAGGATCCACACAGCAGCTTCTTGTGCAGCACCAAAGCACCCTGGGGAGCGGAGAGGCTGCCCTGGCCCTGGCCGCCCTGCACCAGGCTCTGCAGGGAAGCCTCAGTGGAGCCACCTCTCCTTCCCTGGCAGGGTGCAGGGAGATGCTTGCTCAGGGAGGCAGAGCAGCAAGAACACCACTGCTCCAAGTCCTGGTTTCTGTTAGACAGAAGGGAGAGTGGGGCCGGCTGGCAATGGAGGGGTCTGGTGGCAGGCACACAGATGGCTGCCTTTAGGGACGCGGCGTTGGTGCCCTTCCACCAGCCTGTGGCCACCACATCATCCCCACTAAGCTGCATTCAGCTTCTGGTCCTCAGAGCAACTGGGAGCTCTTGGCATGGCCCTTGCTGAGCCACAGCGATGGCCAATGCCCAGGAACCCTCCCCAGTCACAACGAAACTAATGGCACGAAGGCTGTAGGCCAGCCAGTTCCAGGTGACAGCAGGTGACAGGTATGTCCAGCTTGTGACATCTGAGCCATCTGCTCAATGGCATGATGGAACCTCTGACTCCAGCCGGGCTTGGCCAAAAGGCTCAACGCCCACAGTGCAAGGAGCCGAGCACTGGCACGAAGGGGATTCACCCTTCTCCACCCCTTCACGTTCCACTCCAGCCTCCTTGGGAGCAGCACACCCTGGTTCAGGCAGGGCTCAGCCCAGTGCCCATGGCACAAGCACTGAGGGGTTGCGTCAGATGT